CCATCAGTTGCTCCACTGAAGCCTGGACACATGACAGCACAGGTAAACATTGATGTGCACACAAACACACGCACAAACTTAGCCAACATATACACACGATCACCTGCTATCGCACTAATGTTTAGCAGACCTGAGCAGGGAGATGCGGTCTTAGTGGAATGTCAGAGAGGCTGACAGTGCCCAGAGACATGTAGTTATCTGGTGGAGGAGGGATCAAGTTCTTAACCTCTTCTTTGACCTACTGGTAAGAACAACAAGCAGCCCCTGATCTCTGTGGCATGCCGCCTCAAGACCCCGTGCCTCTGCGTGCATGTGTGTGTGGATTTGTGATGGATCAAGATAAAGGGAGTGTGCCTTTACAAGCAAGCATTTAAGTATACTGTAGGCAGTAGAGAAGGCGCTTGCTTGACTTGAGGCGCAGAGAAGCTTTGTCTCCAGAAAGTCTGTCTAAAATACATGTTCCTAAAAACTTCAAACTTTTTTTTTTTTGTACAACTGAACTTCAAGCCAGTTTCTACAACAATCTGTGAAGACACACATTGCAGTTTATCTGTTGCCATGCAACACCTCTAAATAAACATTAGTGATAAACTATGATACTTCCAACACCAGAGCAATATAAACCAGGCTTCAACTTGATGTAATGTTTATCATTTAGGCAGTTTTTTTTTTTATTAGCAACCATGCGACTCACTCACAACAACACACACACAACAAAAACAAGCTGCCGTTTTGCACAGCAGCACAATCCTTTACTGTGAGAGGCTTTTAATGGCCTTTCCAGATTGGGCCCTAATTAGCTGTTAATCATCTAGGGCTCATAACCGGAGTAGAGACAGCAGGCATGTGTGTATTTGTAAGTGCGTGCTTATTTGCGTGTGTTTGCGTGTTCTCTCCTGCTGTCTATCCTTGTGTTGCGAGGCCATTAGCAGCAGACAAGCTAAAGAGAGCCAAACAGCCCATTAACTCCTTCAGTCTTCCTCTCTTCTCTGCCACGCTCATCTCTCTCCCAATAGTACCACAGTTGCCAGCTGACACCCTCTAATGCCAGCTATCTGTCAGGACCAGAGATCTGTCCACCCACACATGCCTCCCTCTACCTCGTCCTCTGCCCATTTATCCCTTTTTTTTCTTGTCCACCCTCCTGTGCTCTGGCTCTCTGATTTGGTCTGTAAATATTCGGTAGTACTGTACGACTGGTTCTTTAAGAGACTAAATGTATACCGACAATGTACTGATCAAAACCTCTTTCAGAGATAATCCAAAGGCTGTTTTGCACCACAAATGTACAACAATAATATTAAGAATATATTTTATTGTCTGACCACCATTGACATTTGAAGCCAACATCTTGCAGAAGTGGATCAATATGATGTGAATCCTTTGACTACCTATTACTACAAATAAAATACAGTTTGGGATTCACATTCTCCGTATAAAAGACCATGATACTCTTTCTTTAACTGAGCTGGTTATGTTGCTCTGCTACACCTGCCTGCTGGGCTTGGCTGCACACTGAATCAATATCTCAATTTGCACGGAGTACAGAAAGAAACCGCAGACTGCAATTGTATCAGCCTGAAAGCAGTAACTAGCAGGTAGCTGTGCATGAGTGTGAACCATTTGGATAAGTCTAAATTGCCTCTGCAGTGCTAAATTGGGCACAAAGGAAAGAACCAGAAGAAACCAAGGGAGCAGGAGTAGATGAGTCTGCCGCACTTAAACTGGCAATGAAAAGCCGCTTTGTGCTTGCAGGAGCCCAAAGCACATTAACTCACAGATGCTGGTACAGTTACTTTCTTCTGTGGTACAGTTTTGACATATTTTTTGTGTTAAGTATACAATAACATTATCCAAATTATGAATATTCTTACGGTGGGTACGTTCTAAGTTGGTTTATTAAACAATTTTTACATTGGAGAGCAGTATTGATGGTGGATCAGTCCAAAGGAAAAAATGCTTAAAATGAAATAAACTTAATTGGTCTGATTGATTAATCATATTATTTTTTGTTTCATAATTACATTTTCAATAAAAAATTGTGAGAAATGCCCAATCAAACTTCTTGAATTCTTTAGCCAATATTTTCATATTTGTTATGTCTGACCTACTATTCAGATCACACACTGCAGTGCAGTACATCTTCATATAAGTAAATTACTTGAACAATTGATAAATGTATTGTTTTAGCGTTACATGACAACAAGTTTGACAAATGATAATAATTATTATAAGGTATATTCTTTAATCAGCACAAATTAAGTTCCATACGGGAAAACAACATGCCGCCTGAAGAACATTTGTTCCCTTATAAATCCACCTTGGCCTAGACTCTAGACTAGAGCATGCTGACAGCCAAAGAGGGAGAAGTGTGTGATTAATGATAGGGTGCTGGTCATATCAGCAGGCTGGTTAACAGAGCCCTCGCAGGACTGCACAGGTCACAGAGCACCCCCAGCCTCATCAGCACCCATTACCAATGTGGGCACATCGTACAGGAAGCTACATCTGTTTTACCCCAACACTTTACAGAGAGGATGATTACAAATCGAGCCAGCTGAGGACTTTTAAAGCATTGAAAATGCAGGGATAATTATTTGCATTATTACCTACAGTATGTATGTAATGTGAATTCATGTTATTTCATTTGATTTTATTCTAGCCTATGTATCCATGAAACAGATTTTTATTTACAAGGACATCATTGAGCATCAGTTAAACTCTGCATTAAGTCAAAAAGTTTTAAGGTTGAAATCTAAAAGTACCAAAGTCATAATACTCTGGAAACACACAACAGAAATAATAAATCTATCTTGTGTTTTCTGACCTTCTAGAGCAGATCAAGGTAATCTGATATAAAGAGTTACCGTAGTTTCACAGCCTAGTGTGTGTGTGTGTGCGTGTGTGTGCGCGCGTAAGGGTGTGTGCATATGGAAGTAGAGAGAACATTGACGATGAAAATATGATGGCAAGTTTGACAACATCCGACATGCATATACACTGAATATCTCTGCTTTGGGCCGAGCAGGCGGAAGGGGAGATCAGAAACAGGATACTGCATCATCTCTGCACACCAACACGGTTGAAATCTCACACACGAACGTGCAGCATGTGTGTGTGAACAGAGCGGGTGCAGAAAGAGAGATGGCGAGGTGGATAGGGAGAGGAGGTGAGGTGATGTTGGATCACTTTGCCGACACAGCAATGTGAGAGCTGGGGCATGTCGGAGGAGCTGGAGGCTCAGCTAACAGGAAGAACTGTGAGATGACCAGGAAATAACACTGTCTCTTTGAATTAGCAATCCCAGCCAAAATAGGAGGGGCAGAAACTTCTGGCAGGACTTGAGTTCGTCTGGGTTATGTGACATATGAGATAGATATGTGCGTGTCTGTTTACAACAGGGGCGGACTGGGACCAAAAATTAGCCCGGGAGACTCGACCGGCTCACTTCGGTACCGCTAGTAAATTGTTAACGGGGGGTGCTAGTGAGTTATCCGACCGGCCCACCACGGTACCGCTAGTAAATACCGCTAGTAAATTGCTTATCCGACCGGCCCACTTCAGTACCGGCCCATCGGGTTTCGTCCCTAACGTCCCGATGGCCAGTCCGCCACTGGTTTACAATGTGTCTCAACCAGGGTGGGATTTTCACGACGGCCATGGCCGTCGTAGCCCCTCGGTCTGGCCGTTATGCCCCATAAATAATTGTACGTCCTACGGCCACCATGGCCTTTGGGCCCCTCGCACTGTGTGCAGACAAGACGACATGCGAAAAACCTTTTAAAATGCGTGTTTTGTGAATGGAGATTGGATCGATCAGGCTAAACTAACGTTGTAGCTGCTCCGTCCAAACTCACAACAACGTCCTAAAGACAGAATTAAAGCAGCGACTGTATTCGTCATGACACAGACAGTCTGTGGTTTGTACATCTTTAACTTTTGTCCAGTTTCTGAACAGATATGAGGAGCTGTGAGGAGTTAATTAAAGAGACACACGCACGCACACACAAGCACGCACACACACACTTTTGCATTTCAAAGTATTGCTTGTTCATACAGTTGGATGTTGGAGCTTCATAGTGCACTGCTGAATGATGTATGTGCAGAGTTTGACCCTTGAAGGAAGTTTCTTCTGCTCTGAAATGGAATATATTTGTTACATATTAATAGAATTTTTGATTTTTAGATTTCATTTCGGATTTTTGAATGGGAGAAGTAGTAGATGGAAAACATACCAAACACTAATTATTCAAAGTAAAGTATTTCATTTTATATACGGTAATACTAAGGAGGCATAGGCCTATATGATGATACGATTATTCATATTAAAAAAGTGATTTGTTTTTTGTCATTAGAAAGTGAAGTTATTTATTTGTAAGCTCCAAATCCTAATTTTTTCCTCAATGGCCTTTGTGCCCTGGCATGTGGCCTTTCCGCCCTGAAAAAACGTGTGACACCAAAGGCCAAATGGCCTTGCCCCTAAAATGACGAAAATCCAAGCCTGGTCTCAACGATTCGTAGTAATATCGTTTTTGATACATATGAATTCTTAATATTTAAAAACGTCATGACACTACATGATACTCGTTTAATAGCTGTGCTTTCTCGCTCTTTCGCACACACACTGCATGGTGCCCAAAAAGCCTATGAAAAGAGTAAATCCTCCATTTGCAATCCCAGAGGCTTGTGAACATGTGAACAACTTCAAGAGTATTTCCTTTTCATCAATGTAAAAACTATTTAGTTATTGTTAATGTTTTCTACAATCATTCTGCTGTTCTCTGGAGCTAGCCAAGAGAAGAAAAGTTGTAGGCCTACTATGTTCCTGAGCTGAGATTTGTGCTAAGATTTATTATCAAAGTCAGACATGTCTGTGTTGTGACAGTAACAACCTTTTAATATTACAACAAAATATCTATTTTGACCACAACAATAATGTTACTTTATATTGTTATATAATATTTATTATACATTTACATATTGGTATGTGTGTTTCTTACCAGTCGATTGTTGCGCACAAACTCCTCCGGGCTCTTGGCCCAAGGTGGCAGCTCCACATCAGAGACCATGGCGCCTTCCTCCATCACTCCCAGGTTGTAACTGTTGGCGTTGACAAACATCTCGGGGAGGTAGTAAAACTCTGGGATCAGCTCCTGCGTTGATATAGCACAGAGACACATTTAAAATAATGCTGACTGAAGTATATTTCTTAAACAGAAGGCACAGAGAAATGACATACCAGCCCGATTAAAAGGGTCAGATTTAGAAAGGTGTGATCTGAATATGTCCAATTAAGGAGTGCTGAAGTAGAATAAGACCCCAAAAAAGTCAAATGCAAACAGACGGGCAGGCCTTTATAAAGCCGGTTCAGAGTGGATTTAGAAATGGCTTTGTGTGTATATCTGTTACAACAGTTACACAGTGGAGTTTTCTAAATTGTACAATTATTCATGGTAATTACATTTCTGACTGCTGCACGCATTTGTGCTTTGGGCTCTATAGAAGATGTCAAAAACCTCTGAGCATGCACTTGGTTGTGGTTTTTCACTACTCTTTGTCTGTATCTAAGCAGCAGTCATTTTTTTTCTTTCTGCCTTCCCCCTGATTCCACAAAAAAGAAACAGACGGTACCCGACAAACTCTTTCCTAACTATGATGATTTTATTTGGCTGTCCCAAACAACAGAAAGTATTTTCAAACTGGCGGATAGTGAAGAGAAATGTAGTTATGACATGAGATGTAACCCCATATGTTTAGTCATCCGTCATTCTCAACAAAGCAGAACTTACCACAATGAGTGTAAACATTGCACTTCAGTTTGAGCTTAAAAATGTATCTAGATAAATTCATACTACCCTCTAGGCCTAAACTGTACTAAACTTCTGGGTACGTTTACATCTTTCTGATTATAAAACAATAGACTAAGATGTCAGAATCCTTGGCTTCTTCACGTAAATAGTAAAAAAAAAAACCATATCATAACATTTACATTGTGTTGTATTTAAATTGATAGTTTTTAATATATATCATAATATGTATTTTTTTAACAACGTTCTTTAACAAAGAACATTTATGCAAAGAAAAAATCTAAATTGCGGTTAAATGTGGTTGAATAAAACCCTTATATCTTGCAGTAATTCATGGCATGATTAATTGATCTTTTACTTCTTCAAAATACAGACAAATTGAGAACATATCTTTTAGAAATGTGTCGACTGTGAAGAAAGTTCTGTGACCACAAATGCGGACTGTTGCTCTCAAAAAAAGCAGAGCTATCAATTTGTTGAAAGTCTGATATCCGGGATAATCAGACTAACAGCAGCCCTGTACATGCTGTAGTCTACAGCTTGCTAATACTTTTTTAATAATTACATTTTTAATAAAACAGAATTTCAAGAACTAGGTCAGAGGCAACCTGATCTCTAAAAAATTAAGAGAAAACTCAAGCGTGAACATTACCCTTCTTTGAGATTAGCTGTACAAAACATCCACCTCTCATCAATGGGGTGAAAAGACCCAATCAAATGAGCAAGCAAACACACAGGTTTAAAACAACACAGCACTTCCTCACTTCTGAAATCTCTTCACTCCACAAAACCCGACCTAAAACTAAAAGGTCAACCTCTTAACGAGGCCTCCTGCTCACCCAGGTTCACTGGCTGCAGCCTGCTGTAAATTTGAGCTGGAGGTGGCAAGACACACACACACACACACACACACACACACACACACACACACCAACAAAACCTTGAGGGCTTCGCTCCCCAACACTCTAGCTGGGCTTGCATGGACCATTATGTGCAGTGGCCCCTGTGCTCCTGCCTGGTCAGAGGCCAGCCCCTCTGATCCCCAATCCTGTCCTGTCATGGGTCACTGGAAGGGGCTCTGGCCCCTGGGCTCCTTTGCTACACTTCCACTGTTGCTACCTCTAACCCCTCTGCTCCTCTCTCTCCCCCTCTGATGCCTTTGGGCTGAGGCTAGGGGTCAGGGGATTGGGGACTGGAGGTCAGGCTAGCGTCACCCAGGCTAGAGACACATTGAATCTGGGTGTTGTAACCTATTATCACCCCTTCTTTACTAGTGGGGTATGAAAACACTGGGGCTGTTTGCCCTCTGGCAGGGACAGAGGGTTGCTATCAATGGCTCAAATGCTAAAGCTAAATGGTGTACTTAGCATACTAAATTGATACATCTTGTCCCTAATTCCTCTTTTGCCCAGTACATGAATGTGTTCGTCCAAGTGGATAAAGTCGACGGGCTCTCATTCAAAAAATGCAAAAATGTCAAACTGAACAAGGAAACAAAGTGATGTGGTCCAGATTTCCCTTTATTTTGATCTGAGGTTGAGCTCTCACAGTTTGATCCACATTGACAGGTCTAGACCAAGAGAGCAAACGAGGGCTCTTGTTGGGCTTTCGCAATCAAGCATTGGCCAGCTACGTAGTAATACAATCCATATGTTTTATCGGCGGGATGTGAGGGGGGTGGTAAACGCAATCAAGCGTCAAAACCCCCAACACCACCTCTGTTCCCCCATCCAGTGACCCAGTGCCAGGAGACCAGGCCAAACTCAGCTTTGACATAGAATGTCTGACTGTAGTCGTAAATGTTTTAGGAGTGCAGTTAAAAGTGTGCACTGGGGGTTCGAAGGCCCTCAGTATGAGAATGACCTGTGCTGTTGCGGGGCAGATCCAACAGCTCAGCAGAGTTTGGGGGCCCAATGGGAACGGACTCAAGTCCAGGTTATAGCTGGCTGAATCTGAGACAGACGGCTGGGACAGATGAGGATTAGTCTTGCACTTTGATCAGAAGACCAGGAAGCTTTCATTGCATAGAAACAATGATTGGTAGTGACTGGACATTACTCTTTTGAAACCTTTTCTTCTTTGTCTGTAAGGACGCTGGATGGGGATTTATTCTGCTGGAGAACCCAGTCCTTTATCTCTTCTAAACTTCAACCAGGAATGTATTTTCCAATCATATGCGTGTATGCATCAGTGTGTACACTACCTTGACATCAGAGGTGTCTCTCTGGCAGTTCCTCCATGCCCGGGCGACTGAGGAGAAGGTGCGGTCAGCATGGTCAAACTTTCCTCCTTGGAAGTTTAGGAAGAATGTAGTAAAGGGTTCCTGTTGATAAGAAAAAAAACATGGTTCAATTTCATCACTGAATGCAACTGCTATAATTGGCAACAACTATTGAGGTTGGTCAAATTGAATCCCTAGCTGCGCAATAAAACGTAGTAAAAGTCTCTGCTGTGGTTCAATACAGCACTAAATCAACAGATTTCAACATACATCTACTCCTTATACACTCCATTGAACAAACTGGAATACAAAAATGAACAAGTGAATAACAATAATCCCAGTGAGCTACTGAAGCCAATACACTTGTGCTACTGATGCATTTCTAATCATGTATAATCTTGTTAGGAGAGATCAATAGCTGTCTCTCTGACGCAACAGCCCCCAAGTGACATGGACACAATATGCTGGGCCATAGTTACGAACCAATACTATAGATAGCTAATTAAAGTCAAGTCTGAAATGAATTATGCTTCATTTGCTTAAGAAGTGTATAGGGTTAACCACACTGTATCTCATCCTGCAGTTAAACAAGCCGAACAGGATTAAACAGACTATAACATTTCACAAATAAACACAAAAGACACACAAATAGTTTACATTTATTGCACAAACAGTTTTCAGTTGCGGTGTGAAGTTAGGTTTGATCTTTAAGAGAGTTATAAGTGAGGGTTTCTGGTAAAGTGGCTTTAGAGTAAGCCCACTAATGATGTGCGGGGATCAATGAGGTAACTCCACTGGGAGTCGCTGAGACAGTGAGCTACTGGGACAATAACAGCAGAAAACGGCACGTTGGAGAAACTTAGTAACCTCCCTCTCCCTCGAGTGCAGGATGGAAAGATTAATGGCATCCATTCAACAAAAGGTTCTGAAAGAAAGCCACCGGTGCGAAATGTACACAGCATATACTCCTTCAAAACATATCAAATCACATACTATACTACCTGGTATGCTTAAAATATGTTAATACTTTTCTTAAGGGAAAAATAAATGTCATGGCACATATTTAATGGCAATGTTTTTGATGTTTTTTTAAATTATTATACGGCAACGATATCAGTCAAATAAATTGAATGCAGCAATAAATGAGGGACAATATGCATGTGATGCAATATTTAGCATACATATACTCTCATTTTGATGCAAATACATGTGTTTCTAGGAAGTAGGTGTGTAATTAAGAATAAATTAAATGATACTCCAAAAAGAAACAATAGATATAAGTGTATAAAGATAGTTTGAAAAATAAGTTGGCTTTGCATTACTATACTATCCTAGGCTACAACTATGCATACATATAACCTTTTGAATGCATATTATTATTACAAACTTTTGTGATCAACTTTTAATGGAAATTGTCACATTTTTGTACAAGAGGTACCGTATAGAAGATGTATTTGTCCCAAACAAACCACATTTAACACAAACTATATAAATATCACCAACTAATAAAAACAACCAAACACTGGGTAATGGCTGTGCATTTTAAGTAACAGAATATATCTGTGCAAAAGAGCTGGGATTTTAAAATAAACAATGAGGATATACCGAGCCTTTACAATGGATGCCCATACTTTTTAATGAGAGAAATCACTCAAATCACTAAAATGATTCAACCACGAGTGTATTGTAGTTTTCTTGGCAGCAATTCAGCAATTAATCTTAAGGGCTGCATATCATAAACCTTTTTTCATTTTTATAAAGCTGTAGTAAAAGCAAATATGAAAAATTATCCTGCAAAATATGTGAAATCACTTAAGTATTATGTATTTTTGTATAGACATTGCACTTACGATACGCAGTAGCCACATCATGGTGAAGCTGGAGGTGGAATAGTGGGTGCCATAGTGGAACTTCGGCACCTGATCATCCTCCCAGGACTCATATCGGTCTGAGAAGAAGGCTGCTCTCTTGGGGTTCAGAGCACCAATGGGCTACGGAGAGATACACAAAACACATTTTCAGGTATGTTAAAAGTGAAAAACAACCGGCAACATCCTTTGATTGCTGCTTTGCATGAAAACAGACAAAACACAGGGGCATTCTTAGAAAGGGAAAGCATAAGGATTACTGCATTTTACTGTGAATACATTCAGGGACTTCTCTCTGCAGCATAACAGTTGCAAGGCAAATGAAGCTAGTAACCTTTGTGCAATTTCAAATGAATATTAGATGATGTTTCCCTTCAGACGGAGATCAATCCTTTCCCACAGAGTGGTTTTTAGAGTCTGTGAAACAGAGCCCCTGCAGCTGTAGTCTGTCAGACAAAACTAATGCGCTCCAATGAAAGAGTGCCTACCAGGAATATCAATAGCAAGGCCGCAGGTTCCTTTAATTTATACTTGTATTAATCTGTAACTAATACACTGGTCTCTTGCCCTATTTGCAGTTTAGCAAAAAATGGTTAAGTTGCATTAATTCTCCATCGCTCTACAAAAAACAATAACCCTGTGCTGCTGGGCTATTATTTAAATAGTCATTTATAGAAATCCCTTTCATGCTGGTTCAATTTGTGTCTTCTGTTGGCTATACCTCATTCCCTCAAACCCCCCTTCATCTCTTTCTCTCCCTCACACACAGAGCGGATCAATGGTAATGGCATGATGGCCTTTTGAGGATGAGGGCCTATAGGGCGTGGATCAATTGGATCTCTTTCATATCATAGGGTGCCTGTCACAGCGGGACTCATGCAGGGCGAGGCATAGATATTGATCTGTGCTACTGCTACTGTTTTGTGTGGGTGTAATGGGGCATGTTGTGTTCATGTATTTGTGCAAAGGGGGAGTGATGCACACAGGATGGGTGCAGAATCGGTTGCCTGTTCGATTTGGCATATATTTGGTAAATGTGTAAATAGTCTTCCTGGTTGTGTGAGGATTTACACAGCAAAAAGCCTCGTGCCACCACACTGTGCAGCTCTGTGTTGACAGTGATACACTGTGGGCTTCCTCAGGGCCACTGGGGGTGGGTGAGTACACACTGTGAATTATACATCAGGCCCATTGCTCTGATTTATAGCCCTAATAACAGTCGGCTCATTAAAAAAAGAAAAGGGAGAGGAGGCATATAAAATAAAAAAAGACTGAAAGTGCCACAGTGACAGAGCGAGAGGGAGAATTGTGTGTGAGTGCATGTGGGGGCTGCTGGTTTGCGCGAGCCCGACATTGTTTACTGCTGTAAATTACTGTGGGGCGAGTCCTCAGCTTACAGTAGCTCCAACAGAGCCGCGGTGACGGCGCCGTACATCAGAGCGGAGCGCCCGGCACTGTGCTGATGGAGCGCCTGCTGCCGCCCCGCCACAGATTGGCCTAATATGTCGTGGCAAAGAATAGCGGTCAGATGAGGACTCAGACAAATGAACCAATCTCGTAGTTTTAATTAGACTAGAGAGAAAGCGGAGGAACGAAGATGCGCTGGCGCTTTGAAGGGGAAAACATCAGATAATTAATCTTGGATTGTCCTAATCAGTTCTTCATCAGCAGTGGAGATGGAGACGGTGTTAGAGCCATTTAAAGATAGTGTGAAATCAATTTCAGAAATAATTACAGTTACTAAAACTAAAAGGGCAGGCAATAAAGGGAAAACCTTTAAATAAAAATGTACTGCATGTCCATGTCACATCCATGTCCAGTGTCACAGAAAAATGTGACATTATTCATAAATCTCCACCCTATCTCTAAGGCTCTGTATCGTGAATGTGTTCAATAAGTCAACTTGGCAGCCTCCCTAATTATTCTCAGGTTGAGATCACAAATAAAATATGCATGTGGGAAAACACTGCCTGACGGAACAACAAGGATCTTCCTGAGAACTATTATACGAACATTATCCAGTGCTGCTTTGCTTTTAAAACAATAATGGGTGACCGGTGATGAAGTATAATGGCTTAGCGGCGATTTGAGCATCACTTGGGCTTTGAGTCGTAAATCAAAAGAGCCTTTTGAAAGCAGTGTTTATGTATAATGTCCTATTTAAACAGTGGAAATGGTGTGGAGGGCCTGGGGGATAAACATATGGGGCGCGTATGGTGAAATCAATACACCATTAGCTGATGTGGCTTTGAGTAGTAGGTAATAGCACAAAGGTACCGGGAACGCTCAATAAATCCTCACTATTTCTGTTGCTATGCAGATGTAGTCAACATAATCTCTGGCTGGGAGGCTAACAGTTCCTTTGATAGTTTGTTGTGGGTTATTAAAAGCTGTAAAACAACAAGAATGACTATGCGTTTGCCTTCAGTGCAATTGTTTGACCCCCATTGACCAATTATAATCATTCTAAAGATATCTTTATGTAGGACAAGTGCATTTTTGTGGAGAAATGTGTGCAGAACTGGGGTGCAAGGAGAGTTACACCACTCCAGAAGCAGTCAGCTCTGGTGTGTGCTTATCGTGACTACAATGTTATCTCGGGGGTCGACGTTTGATGTCAGGTTGAGGTTAGAGTTTATGATAAGAAATTCCCTGGGGTCAGAAAGGCTCTGGCAGCAGGGAACATAAATTCTGTGTGGCCTCTGTTGTAGTGGGGATGATGACAGTGTGTGACACGCACACACACACACACACACACACACACACATGTTCATGGCAATTTGGCTTCTCAATGTCACTGGAGGCTTCTCAGATGACCTGTTTCTATATGAGACAACCGACCAACGTGACATAAGGGGGGCATAAGAGAGATGTGGATGTGAGAAAGAAAGACAGTGTGACATAGAAAGAAAACAATAGAGAGGTAACAAAGCAGGATGAAGAGGAGAAACTAAGTGAGTGGTGAAGGATGAAGACAAACAGCAATAGAGAAGGTCAGAAAACATTACAATGCAAAGAGAAGAAACACGAAGCACAAATGATTGTGGATGCAGAATGGAGGGGTGGGGGTTGATTTGGGGCGCTGTGCAGTGCTGCTTGCCCTTTTCCAGACACTGCAGTCTGCCACGGTCCAGTGGTCATACACTGATATCACACGCGTGTCAACAACATGAATAAAGCAGATGTAATAAAGATTGGCCCCGCTCCCTCCCCTCCTTCTCTCTCTGCTGCTACTCTGGGGGGGAAAGAGCAAGGACGGCAATGATGTTGTTGTTGTTGTTGTTGTTCTTCTCTTACGATCTCTCCTCCTCCTCTGCTCTCAGATTTACTTTCTGTTTCTCCTCCTTCCACCCATCTACCCTTCATTCACCAAGTCCCCGGGGCATGGGGGAAGAGCTGTCCAAACTCCAGGCAGTGCAAAGGAGAAATGCGGGAGGCAGAAACGAGCTTGGGAACTGAAAGAGGGCTGCATGATTGTGTGTATGAGTCTCTGTGTGTGTTTGTCTATGCGTGAGGGGGTGGTGGGGGGAGTTCAACTGTCACATTTCAGCCTACTGGGCAACATGAAGCCAGATAAACAGAGGGATTATGCAGCTTCATATAGTGGGGAAAGCTACACTGGGAGGGATAAAACCAGAGGATAGAGACACAGAGGAGCAGATGGGAAGTGAAAGCAGGACTGGGGAGAACCTCAGGGACAAGGTGTTGACTGCTGGGGTGTTTGAGTCTGTATGACAGGGCGGGGTGAACGAATGGAAGTGTGAGGAGATGGTTCATGTGTCTGTAGCTTCTGTGCAGGGCTAATGTTTCAGATAATAGAGAACATGTTATTCTTTCCAAGGCATTTTAATGAATGATCGTCTCAGTGCCACCATCATTTGCAACATTAAAATTGCAAGTCATGATGTCAACGGAATCCTTGATATAAATTGATTTGCTTGCAGAGTCGAAGTAAAGTTGCGTTGGCCTTTTTGTGGACATCCACATTCTCAGCAATGACCAATTGCAAACTTTGCAATCACCTATAAAATGTAAAATATGAAAAGGAAAAGAGAGTTCAAAACTGAGGTAGCTATGGCCATGTTCCGACTGATGGAAGCAGTGTATGGACAAGAGAAAAAGAAAAACGATGCCCTGGCAGAACATATTTGGAGTTTTTCCATTTACAAAAGTGAACATTAGTGAACTTGTGCTAATAAGCAGTGCAATATTATTTGATTGAAGTTGATTGTTGGCCAATGAAATTAAAGCAAGTCTACGGAATGTTTCTTTTACGTTTTTTTGTTGGATAAACATCATACTGCTACTGTTGACCTTACATACTGTATGTCAAGATACAGCATAACATCTTTCCTGCCGGGATAAGTCTCCAGTTGAAAAATCCTGCCTCTTAGTATTAAGCATTTATAAAGCTTAAAAGACACGAAATGATTAGAACATTTAAATTCCTGGATTGTATTTTATTATATCCCCACTACCTACAACTACTCCCCCTCTTTTTTAACACAATGCTATTTCAGTTTTAAACATGCCTTACTGCAATATGTTAAATGGTGTCCCATTAGATGGTTACCTCTGTATCTCCTTCATCCTGCATGAACATGGGATGATCTCAGGACCCTGACAAATGCCCTCAAGTGTAACTCTGAAATGCAATTCCTCCAACGTATCCCCTGTCCATTAACACATGCCTTTTTGTTTCCATGGCTGATTTATCCAGTCATTTTAGATCCAGCAGCGAGACAGTCGCTCAATCATCTCACTCTAAAACTAATCCTCTGTCCTCCCACCCCTGGACAGCATTACCCACAACTGATCTTCAGTCAGAGGAGAGGAGCTGGAGAGAAGTAAGAGAGCTTTTTGTCTGTGTTTATGTGTGGAAAAGATAGGGAGTTAATGCGAGTAAATAATTACATGTCTACTTACAATATGGGGGAGAATCTTTTAAGCAGTTACAGCAGAGTGAGCGTGTGTATTTATGTGCCAGGGAGCATCTCAGGGCAGGTTTCATTGTTTTAAGCCCAATCACTTGATGCCTGGAGCTACCAGGGAGTATTAGTTTGCTTCCTGGGGTTTTGCAGAAGGTCACGTTTGAAGTATTCAATTATAAAGTTTGAATAATAGAAAGAAAACAATAGCTAAACCAGCAAATGGAAGTCACAAAGAAATAACAAGTGCACTTGCAATATTTAGTGACTCAAGCAGAGCAAGTGAACAACTACTGATACACATCATCTGTAAAGTGTTTCAGTTGCAATTTTGGGAAATGTGTCATATTAACCCAATTGTGTATATTTACAAATACATGAAACTGAGCAGACCACAGGATTTAGTTTAGCCAGAACACATTAGTTGATGAGTTATGTCAAAAATACTGTACATATACATTCATATTAAAAATGAGTAAAACTAGTGTGCATGCTTTTTAAAATTGGCAGTAATTCTTCTAAGAGCAAACTAGCCAAACATTTGAGTAATTGAATGCGAAGAACAGAACTACAACTGTGTAAAGATAGCAATCTGCCTCCAGTGATTGAAGAGCTGGTTCACTAAACCATAAAAAACACACACACACACACACACACACACACACACACACACACACACACACACACACACACACACACACACACACACACACACACACACACACACACACACACACACACACACACACACACACACACACACACACACACACACACACACACACACACACCCCACACACACACTACACACACACACACACACACACACACACACACACACACACACACACACACACACACACACACACACACACACACACACACACACACACACACACACACACACACACACACACACACACACACACACACACACACACACACACACACACACCTCTCTTTCAGAAAGACAAGTGAAGGGGGAGGGGAGTGTCTGCCTGGTCTGTCTTACCTTGGACAGATCTCTGAAGTTGCTGGGCAGAGTGAGGTCAAGTTCCTCTGAGTCGTAGTTGGTGATCACCCAGGGGAAGACCGGGTACTGATTCAGGTCATTAAAGGTCCGACCTGGTGGAAGGGAAGTGACAAATATTGAAACATATAACAAGGTATCGAGAACAGCACACGCTTTAAAACAAATATGTCATTTTCTTGATTGGTTGTACTGTGTGACAATCTGCATAACATCAGATCAGTAGTGTCCTCACCAGAGATGGTGTTGAGGAAAATAAGGTAATCAAAGTTGGATATCTCGCGGCGTTGCCAGCGCTGGGTCATGCTGGATGCCTTGAAAAGTTGCTTTGGTGTGGCCAGAGAGATACGTCTATAAAGAGAAAGAGAGAAGAATAAATATAAAAACACTTGTAGCCTTCCAAATGTTTCTTGCCCTGGTGAGAGTGGGCAATCAGTGTGCGAAGACAAAAATACATATTCAGTCCACACATCACAAGAACAGCAATTAGCAGACCAAGAAAATGCCTTGGGCTCATTAGACTTTTAAAATACAAATGTCATTATGTGAAAAATCTATTGAGCTTTCAGTCTTGCTAATTAAGAAGAGAAATATGTAACACAAATATTTAAATACACATATGTGAGTGCATGCAAGACACAGAGCATGATGTATGCGGTAGGACAAAAACAAATGACCTGCAATCCAATTAAAACTAAGCAAAATGATGGAATTAATCACTGTCAGGGTGTGAAATTACAGTCATTAGGCCTCTCAAAGGTGAAAATACGACTTTCTAAATACGAATGCATTAAAAGACACACTATTCCTTATATTCTGTATATGTTTTTGTTCAAAGGTTCCCATATTTTCTTTTAGATCACATAACTAATAAAAAAGAGAGAAGTGCTTTAAGTTGGCAAAAGGTTCTATAAGCATTAGGATTGGATCCAATTATGACCAACCATATTACATGCATAATGAAGTGTGGTTGTGTAATGATCGTCGTGGCACCCTGGACATTGAATAATTTGTGATGTACTGGCTGTGTGAGCTGGTGTGTGTGCACCGAGCGGCCCTGTACAGCTGCTCTAAGGTCAGAGAGGTAAGGTGTACCCTGGCCTGCAAACTAGTTTGATTAATGACCCTAACACAAACACACACAAATTCTCTCACCCTAACACTGTGTGTGTGTTATAAACAAATGCTATCCTACATCCACCCTGACTCATTACTGGATGCACTTCCTTACTCAGATTAATTACATATCCTTCAGTGTTCAGTGTTACAATTGCTAGGAGGAGTAAATGTGTTTGTTTCTTCAATATTGAGAAAACATTTCCCATAGATCCTAAATCTTGCTGTCTCACACACGTAACCTCCCCAAACACTCACACATCCCACGAGACAACTGTCATATCTCAGATTAATGAAGATACAAAATGTGCACTATGCAGTATCAAAACTAAAACAAATCCCTGTGAGGACAGAATAATATTTGACCCTGTCTTTGGATTTGGATGTTACTCTTCAGTCCAAAGAAACCAACAGTTACTATGTGTACTTATATGCAAACTTTGAAGAACACTGGAAACACATTTACCCTTCATGAGGTTTTTTGTTTTTTCCTTTATCAATGTCGAAAGGTGTTAGGACAGAGGTTATTATATACTGGGGTTAAACCTGACTTTACACTTGCCACTTTATGGTATCAGACTTAAAAATAAGTAATTAAAATATGCCATATAAGACATCATATAGAAATATTTCCTGGACACTCATTTCTTTTGATCTACACTGGGATACCAGTACTGGGATCACAAATGCTGCTGATTTGGGCTTGGCTTCAGCACTGCCCGGACACAGAGCAGACATGATTTGAGGTTGGGGGGGTGTGTGTGTGCCCCGCAGGCTTACAAGCTACTCTTTGCTTCACACTGATGGAAATAAATAAATGAGCAAGACTGTGTTTGTGTGAAGCCAATTATGTACAGGGGCTGAGAAGAAAGAGTGGGAGGGATGGGCAAATAGCGACCAAACCTCTGTGTGTTACAGAAAGAAAGAGAAGGAGAACATTCTGTTCGGATGATTACATCATAGATAATATGGAACAACAACTCAAGGTTTTCTAAACTAATTTCACACTTACCTACACTGTCTTCCAATAACTGTAATGTTCTGATTTGTACAGATGTGATGCTGTATGTGTTTAGAGATGAATTGTGTAGTTGTGTGGAGCAATGCTTCTCACCTGGTCTGTGGAAGGCCAAAGTTCGTGCCCACCCCAACACGAGGGAGACTGTGGACCACCTTCTTGACTGTGGCCGCATCTGGGAAGTTGAACATGACTGCCGCTGTAGAGAGAAGAGAAATATCTATTTATTATATCAAGGATTATCTAAATTATTCGTTAAATTACATACAGTTCACCACAGTGATCCTAATGTATGTTCCCATCAATATTACCCTGAGAAATGTGTATGTTTATCCATCAGGGTTAAAAGGTGCAAGAGTTACATAAATGTAATTATCAGGTGCTTTCTTACTTCTGTTGGCCATGAAGATTTCCAGAGAAGTATTCTGCAGTAGGTAGCGTCTGGAAAAGACGGCTCTGATCTCCGTGAAGAGCCATTTTCCATGAAGACCTTCTGTATAGGATAAAATCTGAGAGACGGGAAGACAGGAAGAGAGAACAAAATGAAGGAGATTGAATTCAAAGGGGATAATGAAAATGGAATATGGAAAGGACGTTTAAGGCCAGAGAGGGACATAAGAAACCAGAGGTAAGGGAGGGAAGAAGAGCAGACAGGAGGCTAGTTTAGTTCATTTTTCACACAGTGATGGCACGACGGCCTGAACAGCACGATTAATGTCTTATATTGATCAGCCTCAATGAAAAAGCGATCCCTTCAGCAAGAGAATGGGCGCTATTCAGCTGGAAGGAGTGAAGGAAATGTTTAGTTCACTAAAAGATAATCCATATTGCAGCATACAGGTGGAGAAAAAAAATGACATCTTATATAACAGAAATAGGAAACAAGAGCATATTGATTTGATGTATAATGATGGTACTGTGATGGGACAAAGATTAGGTTAATAGCCTTTTTTATGCTAAACATCTGATTAGATATTTTGTTAGCAAGCTCCAGATTAAAAATGCTTCAATGAGCTGACCTAATATGTCCCCTTGGAGATTGTGTTAGCTGTCAGAGTGACGTGTCCTGATGGCTGCCTCTGTGTCTGACAGACACAGATGCTTGGCCTTCCCCCTGCGATTCACACTCCTACTAAGCCGGCATTTAGATTTGCTTCCAACCTACTTAGCACTGCTTTGTTAACTACGCTTTGTTTCAACCTCTGCTTTTAGTTTCAAAGGCGTCAGCTGACGGGGGGTGTACAGGGAGATGGTAGAAAGGTAAAAGGGACACTAAAGGTTGTCACAGCGTGGTGCAGAAGCTGCTTTATTAAACACAAATATTCAAATGTGAGCTAGCATGCTCGGACTAGTGTTGAGGTAAAGGAGCTCATTAAAGGCAGGGACAGCAGAGGGACCAGCTGAGGCTTTGGCAGCCAGCTGAGGACAGCCTCTCCCTCGCTGTCTCTATGAGGAATAAGATCTGCTGCATCACAGACTCACTTCAAAGTCTCTGGAGTTCAATTAAATGTGGATTAGTGGCTGGGTGAAGCTGGCTGGGACAGCAACCACCAGCCTCCTATCTTCTTTAACAGGGACTCAAAATGACTTTACTAGTCACCATGAGCCTGTAGCCAACCCCATCACATAGATAGTGCTGCAATCAGAACAACATTTTCCAACATGATGGAACAGGTATTAAGTAAACTGCTTTGTGAGAATGTCAGATATTTATTAAAAAAATTGTTTTTTTATCCACATTGTAAGTAAGTTTGACAAGCAAGTCACCTCAATCTCTTCACAGCCAACATTTAGTTACAGCCAGCAGCCGGTTAGCTTAGCTTTGCACAGAGAAAAGGCACATTTCCTAAAGGTTTTATAATGAAGGGACTCCATAGCAGGTTAATCATCATAACAGATAGCATCTTCTTAATCTCCAAAGTTACAGCGAGATAAGTCATATTTGAAAGAAGATATGAAATAAAAAAGAACTATAGATTTTCGACAAAATGCATAGTATAGAATATATGTTATTTTCCACACAGGATTGTAATATTGGAACACTGCATTTTCAACTCTATAATAGTCTATATAAACAGTCTCCCCTTTCAGTCTTGTTGAAGATGATTGAATTGTGCTGACAAACAGGCCAAGACACCTGATTGGTTTGCTCTACTGACATAGATGATGGCTGTCAAATGATGTCAAGAACCCTACAGTAATCGTAGCGAGTCATCTCATTTATTTTTAAATCAGATTTTCTGCCTCTATCTGACCAAAATGAAATTCCTGTTTTCAGGTGTATGAGTGAGTGAATGTTTGGAGAGTAACCTTTGACCTCCAAAAGGGAGTGGTTGACTCATTTCCTCCCCAGGCGTACACTCAAAGACCTGCGATAGATGTCAAGAGGATGACAAGGTGATAAAGTTGCCGTCTCCGATTCCACAGATAGATATGACAGTAGCGGAGGCAGCCAGATATCATATTCGTCAGCGGACCGATGAATCTCCTGGAACGCTGTAAATAGCACTCTATGTTCCCAAGATCATTGTCCTTATCAGCGGCGCCCTTTCCCTTGCAGATGAAAAAGCTGAGTGGGTGACAAGAAAGGTGACAAACTATCCGCGCTGTAATGCTCTCGCCGCTTTGACCACGTCTGGACAAATTACAATGGTGTTGAGGTTATTGTCCGAGCTGGAGTTATGGCTGCACCAGCTTTCGTCTGTGATAAATAGTAATGGTGGAACTGGATCAGTCAAAGAGATGAGAATGATACAGAAGCAGAAGAGGATTTCTCTAAAGAACACCAAAACCAGAGTGTGCAATCACTTGAATGACATTTACCTTTTATTATCTGAAGAAAAAAGGGCGGATCGGTTAAAAATTATAAAAAACAATATGATTGAGGATAGAATATTCCATAAAAGGGTGCATAAAAAGGAGCTTTTACGTCAACATGATTGTTTGAGTATAAAGCGCAGTTTTATTGATGTTTCATTTCAAGTGGAACATTATCCATGGATTCAGGTCTGCTGTGTCCCGAGATCAATTTCAAAGCGTCACGCGAGAGGACACAGCCAAACAGAAAACAAAGGAATGAGTCTTGATTGCAATGCTTTCTCTGCCTCTCCATCTCTCCCTCCTCCTCTTTCAACCTGTTTGTGTGCGCCGGGCTGCTGCTCATTTCTGAAGCACTGTCGTTTGTCTTTGTCAGATGCCCAAAAGACTGCGGAATGAAGAGGGACACGTAGAAGAGGGGCCGGGTGACTGTGGCTGTGGTGTGTAACCACACGCACACACACACACACACACACACACCGTCACTGCTGAATCTGGCAGACAGTCTTTGCCAGTGAATCCTCTCCATCACCCTTTCCTTCGCAAACCCAGTCTCTTTTACCAACCAATGCCTCCTCAGAAACATGGGTAAAGTCAAGTGGAGGAACAGGGTGACACAGATGACATTTAATTGAAACTGCAGTGAATTAGGGGAGAGTTAGAGGAGCAACAGACCCCCTCTCAGCAGCTTGGTATAAGATAGATGAGGCTCTCAACTACCTTCGCTGCTGCCAACATGCCGCTCGTGTGTGTTTTGGGCTGATAAGACACTTGAGTTGTAGAGGACAGAAGCCACTGCCAAATATTAATAAAGGAAATCCTAATGTGTCATCAAATTTAGAAAAAATCCAATTTGAACACCAATAGTGTTTGTAAAAGAAATGCTTCAACCTACACATGTTTGATAAGTGGTATGTGCATAGTTGCTCGTTGTGTTTAATGTGCTGTGCATCCTTGAAGGAAGATGAGGTGATTGAAGTTCAATTTGTTGCCCGTTATTAAGTATTTCCGCATGGCTGCCTCAGTTAAAGGATAATGGATGAGGGATTTATTATTACCTTTTGGTCAAATGAAGTGGTGTGGGAGATAAGGTGATGAAATTAATGAGCGGGTGGAAGAGCGGTGATCCATCAACATCAAAAAATGGAGACGAAGGACAAGCTGTATTGGGAGAACTTGATAGAATTCATGAAAAAAATAAACCTGTGGACTTATCAGCATGTACGGTTGCTTATTGCTTTTTATTTTCAAAAAGCTGTCTCATTCCACACTGCTCAACGGAAGTACTTTCACTTGCACACAGTGGACTAAGGTTGCAGATTGCAAAGACAAAACCCCTCTTTTACTTATAAGAAAGTCACAAATACAAAGTAAACCATTGCATATACTGTAGCAACATCAGAGCCATGCCTATCGTGACTCTTCCTCACTTGACTGACAAAAGAATCAAGCCATCTACAATAACCATGTCATTGGATCGAGACGCTGACGGCACTTTTACTGCAGCAGCAAATGAGGAAGAAATCACAGACTAACACAAGCTGACATTTAAGGGCTTTTTGAAACTCTCCCCTAGTGCATCCACAAACACATCACAATTTACAACTCCTTTCGTCTCACTATACATAAAATCTTGTTTTCCTCCTCCCCCATTGCCTCAACACCCACCATCCTCTGTTCCACGCCGGTAAACGAGGCCTTGTCACCCCCCATCAGTAAATGAGTTCATCGGACTAACGAGCAAGCAAAGGGCCCCGACACACTAACAAGGGTCTGTTCTCTGCCTGTGGACCAATCAGGACCCTCATCACCGTTGACACAAAGCCTCCAAGAGCCCTCTGGAGCCAATTAAGATAGATTTTGCTTTTGAGATTGAGTGATAGCTAGGGAAAAAAAGCGTAGGAAGGACTTAGAGTATCCTAATGGAAAGAAGAACAGAAAGATGCATCAACATATAATCTTTTTCAAGATTTCTTGAACAGGGATATTTAAATTTAAAGCGATTAAAGAAGGAGTATGGTTGGTGATTCGTTCTTTGGAGGCTGAACTCACAAGCCACACAAGAGGGAAAACAACTCCCTCACCGTAAGAACCTGAAATCATATGACTCTTAGACAGAAAAGCCACATGACTCTACTTTCACACTCCAGCAGTTATCGTGTAGCCTTTGTGCTTCAGCAAGAGTATTATTTAACCAACTGGCATCCACACCATCTCCGTCTGGTCATGTGCTCCATGACTGTTCAACTATGGGAGCAGTGACGCTTGGCAACATTGAAAAAACAGGTATCAAAGTAATAAAGCTTGGCAAAGACCAATGAATCTACACTTGGGTTACCAAAACCAAAAATATGAGTTAAAGAAAACGCAGTATTAGATGTATCAAAACACAGTATCAAAATATTTGATCCACTATACCTATAATTTAGTATTTAGAGTATTGGATGCATTGCATGGTCAACAGGCTTCAGTATAAGAAGTCAAGACTATTTGTGTCCACCAATGATTGATAGGCACAATTGTTCTACCGTCATGTAACTGATTCAAGATGTAATCACTGGTCACACATAAAAGGCCTATTTGCCTAGAGGGAAGTCAAACAAACTACAAGGTTCAAAAAAATAAACACAACTAAGAAGCTGTGCTGGAGTGTGAGAGAATTAAAGCAAAATAAACAGAACCAGCATGCAGC